GAAAAAAAAAAAAAAAAAAAAAAAAAAAAAAAAAAAAAAAAAATTCAAGGATAAATAAGCAGTGATATATATAGAAAAAGAAACGAAAGTAAGCTTCATGAAACAAAACTAACTGATGCTTCCTGCTCCTTCGCAGTGGCCCGGCGTAAATTCAAACGCTCCGCTTCTTTTTGAGCACGGCGACGCCTGGCATTCCACTTATCCTCAAAATGAATACTCTTGTTAAGACAAATTTGTTAAGATAAATTTAATCAAAAATTAATCCACTAAGATTAGTTTAATCATACCCTGTCAGACCGTCATGCAGCTAGTGATATGGGAACGTATTAGAAAATTTATAGACAATTTGAGAAAAAGTTTATAGGCAATTCGAAAAAAAAAGTTTATTGACAATTCGAAAAACGAATATAAAATCGTAGAAAGCTTTTGAAAAAGACTGAGATGTTTTGAAACCAAGAAATAAGACAGGAACATAAATATTTGAAAATAATATAAATTGATAAAAAAAACTAAAGCTAGATAATAAATTTAAAAAAAAAAAAAATCCACAGTTTTTTCAACTAATATCTGCAGTTTTTATATCAAATAAAACAAACAGTCGGGATAACTGTTTTGAAACTTCCCTATTAGTGACGTATGTCACTGGAATGCTCTCACACGCAGAGCACAGCAACACCAGGCCTTTCAATCCATGGTTGTAGTACCACCAGAATGCATTAAATGAATATATATTTCAACTTTTTTTTAAAATTAAAAAAAAAAGACCTTCGAAGCGGCTTGCTGTTTTATTTGGTTTTCGTTGAGCGGAAGATAAATGCTTATTATGGACTCGATAAAGCGCACCAAATTTGGACAGCCCTGTATGTGCTGCTGCAGACGATCAGATGGAAGCGGTAGTTTCAGGACTGGTGCCAAATAACCAAAAACAAGCGCATCTATGGAACTTGGCCTAAAAAAAAAGAATGCGAGAAAATAAATTTTTATTACGAGCAGTACAGCTTTATTTTGTGAATCTGTTTGAATGCTTCTAAGCAAACTGAACTACGTCAAAATCCTCCGCGCAGACTCATGTTCAGGAGCACTTGGAGATGGTATCTGTGATAACTCTTTAGTGAGGCTACCAAAAGTTAACAAGGTTTTGGGGAGCTCTTAATTCCTACGATTAAAAAGCAAGCAGAAGACAGTTCTGACCGCCAGTAATAAGTTTGCAACAACAAAAAAAGTAGACACAGAAAAAATCCCCACTGACAGTACTGAACTATTGATTTGAATTTGAGTGTAGACGATATTTATCATTATAACAGGCTGCCAAGCTCAGCAGCAGCTCACATTAAATGAGTGAAAGAACCAGCTGCCGGTGCGAAAATACTTTTTTTGCACAGCTCTCCGCACGTTTTTGTCGCTCGGGGCATCGGTTTTTTTGGCAGATGCTTCTAGCTAAACCAACTGAGACTGGCCACTAGGACTGTCAGGAAAAATCCCCTTAAATTTTCCGGCTTCTAGCTTTTCTAGTTTCTGAGTTAACAACTTACTTGCCAAAATTTTCACTGGCGCGTACGTGAGAACTACGCACACCTAGGAGCTAATTTCGAACTCATTAAGTCCTACTTGGGCAGGGGACATCCCCTTAAAATTTCAGCCATTTAGCCTGTACGGTCCTCAAGTTAGCAGCTTACTTGCCAAAAACC